TATATATATATATATATATATATGTATTGAACTATATATCATTCCTTTTTCTCTTTCTTCTCCGTTCATCGTTTTTCGATTTGGGTCGCGGAATCGATCGTGCGCACGGTTTCACCTCAAATCCCAGACGATCGATAAATCGTATTTCCCTCCGCTGCTACCGACGACTTCAAAGCGATCATCTTCGGCTAGTCTCCGTGGTCGCGCCAATGGAATTTCTCGATCGCCGCAGATTCTTGTCGATCGGTTTCTCGCGCTTTCAATAATCGTTCCTCGGCCACGGCGAAAAAAAAGAATTCACAGGCGCGCAATTACGAGCGGATCCTCCTTCACGGAAGTTTCGTACATGCTACGTTACATACGTTTAAATACACATCAACCTCCGATCGATCGGTCGATCTCAATCTTCTCCCATGCTGCCTCTCATTTTCATCTCTCTTCTTTTTCCACTCTCAGTCGCATCTCATTCGTTCTTTCTCTCTTCGGTTTTTTTGTTTACACAAGAAAGACTAATTTCGTTCATTTATTTCTTTATTTATTCATATATATATATATATATTTATACGTTATATCATGGATATTACTGATACACGGAAAAAAGAAGCTCATTAAATCGTTACGGAGCACACTGAAGAAGACTGGTTTTTCTCGTCGGTTAATAAACTGCAAATTTATTCGCAATGTTATATGTTACACGGATGGTATAACGGCGATAACGGAACAATATATATATAGTTTCATTTATTTATTCATTTATTTATATATCTATACTTTGCATTCTGTAAAATATAATAATACGGCGCGACTGTTGCACGTTCTCGGTACACGCGCGACGTTCCCCACCTGCACGGATGTTTTCGAAACACATGCGCAATGTGTTCGGGAAAGGGATTCCTTTCGAAAAAAACGAATCGACAAAACAGAATACGATCATTTCTAATTTTATAAAGAAGCTACTAAAGATCTTTCGCAATTAAACAACGAAAATATTAAAACTCCGAAGTAAGTATCGTACAATAGAAAACGAGATCTTACGTTTCCGACTTGTTCTCACGAAAAGAATCACCTCTGATTGGCGTCCGCCTCCAAGTTTACGCGTGACTATATTGTCCAGCTGTAGAAGGTCCTTCCGGGACTTCGTCGACGCGTATATACTTTCGATTCAATTGGGTAATACAGGGAACGAGGCGCGTCACCCTGCTCGCGATAATACCCAGACAATGTAGTGACAAAATAGAAGACAAGTAAGTACAACAACTATTGTAGCTTAGATGAGAATCTGTTGTTGCCGGGCCTCAGACCCGGGAACGTTTCCTTTCCTCAGCTTTCGTTTCGATGAGTAACGAAACCTCGGTCGCCTTAGATACGGCTTCGACCTGAATTTTTGTTGTTTGGCAGTGACGTCTTCTCGCCATGGACCAACGAATCCGTGGCGCGTTTGATACGGCGGCGTTTCGATTCCTGATATATCATTGTCGTATAACGGATGCTTTTCTTTCCGTGATCCCCCGAGCGAGACAGGAGGAACCAGGAAAGAAACGACACCTACTCAGGATACGGGAAATCCCCCAGCCCTTTGCCCCTCCGATTGCTCAACGACCCCTATAAAAGCTTCACAGAAACTTCGACAGGGATTGGGAATGAACGGACGTTTGTTGGAAGAACCATCGTCTGTGCGTTTGTGAATGTCTGAGGCCTCGGCAACTGAGGTATTTGTGAACGAACGCACGCCGTGTCGCATATTTCTCTCTCTCTCTCTCTCTCTCTCTTCCTCTCACTCTCTCTATCGCTCGCTCTCTTTCTCTTCGTACACGCTCGGCGAACAGCGGCGCTGCTTACAACGGATGCTCATTTTTATTTTTCTCTTCCATTCTCCTACGATTAAACGCTTTGTTCTTCGTCGTTATCCATTTTTAAAGTATTTTTTTCTCTTTTCCACACTCGCGTATCATTTTTTTTTTCTTTTGATATCTTAACTACCGGAATCATTTCCATCCATTAAATCGAAGACATGTTTTTTTTTTTATGTATTTGTATTCGTTTTGTACTTGTACTGTTCAGCAAGGCAGCGTGTTGCACTTTGTTTACAATTACAATTATAGTCGGGCCGTGATTGTCCACGAAAGATTCCACAACGTCGCGAATGATTACTTCGTGATTATTTTTTTTTTTTTGCATCTTCCGCGCGGATTCTTCTTTGTTTCTCCTTTCTTTCTTCCTTTCTCTCTTTCTTTCACGCACTCCTTCTCTCCCTATCTCTTGTTCTCTATGTGGCTGTGTGTGTGTATGTGTGTGTATATGTGTTAACGCGAAAACTTTGGCTGAAGATCGTGAACGATTGGTGCCGGACGAACGATTGTAAAGCGAGCACGATACGAAGAATATAAAATGTGGCTGCGTGAAATCGCGCGTGGAAGGGGAGGTGGGTTGTGTGCATCGACGACGCGAAACGGACGATCGTGTGAACAAAGAATTTTTAGGCTGCCGAGGGAATTTACGTGAGCCCGACTCGCGAAACGATAACGAACTCGAACGGAGCGAACGCGGACTGTGTGGAACGCTTGTTTGCAACACGTGGATCCTTTTGCGCTCGACGACCCGGTCTATCTCTTAATAATTTCTGCTTCGTTACGGTAAATTACGCACGGGGAATAAAATTAAGATTACAAACGGATGGAAACCATCGACCGACGCTTCGTGATTACGACGTGGAAGAAGTAAATCGCAAAGGCTAAACATACAAAAAAAAAACAAAAAAAAAAACGAGAAAAACTATGGGTGTTCACGATGTGTGGGCGGGCGATTCGCAACAGGTCTCTGAATGTTTTAACGCG